TTTCTTGGGGTCGGACACGGAGATTTGGGGTCCAAAGAGCTGGGTGTGAAGGGAAACACCCACTTTTGGCTCTTTTTAGCCCATTATTCCTTCACCGAGCTCACGTGGATTTTTAAACCTTTTTTTTGGGGCCAGAGAGGAGCATTTTGGACCATTTTTGGGGACTGGGGAGGGGCATTTTCAACCATTTTTGGGGTGGGGAGGAGCATTTCGGACCATTTTTGGGGCAGGGAGGAGCACTTTAAACATTTTTGACAATTTTGGGGCCAGAGGGGAGCATTTTGGACCCTTTTTGGGGACAGAGAGGAGCGCTTTGAACATTTTGGACCATTTTGGGGGCCAGAGAGGAGCGTTTTTGACCATTTTGGGGACTGGGGAGGAATGTTTTGGACCATTTTTGGGGCCAGGGAGGAGCAATTTAAACATTTTGGACCCTTTTTGGGGCCAGGGAGGAGCATTTTCAACCATTTTTGGGGCCAGGGAGGGGTGTTCTGGACCCTTTTTGGGTCTGGGGAGGAGCAATTTAAACATTTTGGACCATTTTTGGGGGCAGGAAGGAGCGTTTTGGACCTTTTTTGAGGCCAGGGAGGAGCGTTTTGAACCATTTTTGGGGCTGGGGAGTAGCAATTTAAACATTTTGGACCATTTTTGGGGCCAGGGAGGAGCGTTTTGGACCATTTTAGGGCCGGAGAGGAGCGTTTTGGACCATTTTTGGGGCTGGGGAGGAGCGTCTTGGACCCTTTTTGGGGCCGGGGAGGAGCAATTTAAACATTTTGGACCATTTTTGGGGCCAGAGAGGAGCATTTTGGACCATTTTGGGGCCAGGGAGGAGCGTTTTGGACACTTTTTGGGGCCGGGGAGGAATGATTTAAACATTTTGGACCATTTTTGGGGTGGGGAGGAGCATTTTGGACCATTTTGGGGCCGGGGAGGAGCGTTTCAGACCATTTTTGGGGTGGGGAGGAGCATTTTTAACCATTTTTGGGGCGGGGAGGAGTGATTTAAATATTTTGGACCATTTTTGGGGACGGAGAGGAGCATTTTGGACCATTTTGGGGCCAGGGAGGAGCATTTCAGAACGTTTTTGGGCTGGGGAGGAGCGTCTTGGACCATTTTTGGGGCGGGGAGGAGTGATTTAAACATTTTGGACCATTTTGGGGGACGGAGAGGAGCGTTTCAGACCCTTTTTGGGGCCGGGGAGGAGCGATTTAAACATTTTGGACCATTATTGCGTCTGGAGAGGAGTGTTTTCGACCATTTTGGGGACTGGGGAGGAGCATTTTCAACCATTTTTGGGGTGGGGAGGAGCGATTTAAACATTTTGGACCATTTTTGGGGCCAGGGAGGAGCATTTCGGACCATTTTTGGGAAGGGAGGAGCACTTTAAACATTTTGGACAATTTTGGGGCCGGAGGGAAGCATTTTGGACCATTTTTGGGGCTGGGAGGAGCGATTTAAACATTTTGGACCATTTTGGGGGCCAGAGAGGAGCGTTTTGAACCATTTTTGGGGCTGGGGAGGAGCGTCTTGGACCATTTTTGGGGCGGGGAGGACTGATTTAAACATTTTGGACCATTTTTGGGGCCAGAGAGGAACGTTTTGGACCATTTTGGGCTGGGGAGGAGCATTTTGAACCATTTTTGGGGCCGGGGAGGAGCAATTTAAACATTTTGGACCCTTTTTGGGGCCAGGAAGGAGCGTTTTGGACCATTTTTGGGGCAGGGAGGAGCACTTTAAACATTTAGGACAATTTTGGGGCCGGAGGGGAGCATTTTGGACCATTTTTGGGGCCAGGGAGGAGCAATTTAAACATTTTGGACCATTTTTGAGGACAGAGAGGAGCATTTCAGACCGTTTTTGGGCTGGGGAGGAGCGTTTTGGCGCGGGGAGGAGCACTTTAAACATTTTGGACCATTCTGGGGGCTGGGGAGGAGCGTTTCACTCCGTTTTTGGGCTGGGGAGGAGCACCTTGGACCATTTTTGGGGCAGGGAGGAGCAATTTAAACATTTTGGACCATTTTTGGGGCTGGAGAGGAGCATTTTTGACCATTTTGGGGCTGGGGAGGAGCGCTTTGAACGTTCTGGACCATTTTTGGGGCCAGAGAGGAGCGACTTGGACCATTTTTGGGGCCAGAGAGGAGCATTTTGGACCATTTTTGGGGCCAGGGAGGAACATTTCAAAGGCTGCCGCGTCACTTATCTTTTGGACCATTTTTGGGGCCGGAGAGGAGCGTTTCGAAGGCTGCCGTGTCACTTATTGCTCGGTGGGTGCCTTGGCCACCAAAAATCGTTGTTTTCTCTCCATTTAGGATGGGATAGAAGAGTTTTCTTGCCCTCCCCCCTCCAACTTTTCCAGGATTTGGGGGTCAGGGCAGCCCCCCAGGGGGGGGGACCCAACGTACCTCGATGTGCTGGAACATGTAGGGGTGGTTGCAGATCTTCCGCAGCTGCATGATGGTGTTCATCAGGGTCTTCGTGCCCCCCTTCCCCTGCACAAAACCACCCCAAAACGGGGATTTTTAAGGTCACCGGGATTTAAAATTTAACTTCAGGGATATTCTAGGAGCCTTTTTCTGGGGGTTCATGGCCCCCAGCACCCGCAGTGGGGCTGCCTTGGTGGGGGGCAGCCGGGATCTCCCCCGCTCAGCCAGGGGGCAAAAGTCAAGGTTTAAATAAATTAAAGCCACCCCCGAGGAGTTTAAGGCTGAAAAGGGGGGAAAACGGAGCTGGAGAATGTGGGATTTTTCACCTTCAGCTTTTAGCTCCGACCCAAATGTCTCTTTAATTTTATCTTCTTCCTCCCCCAATTCATTACCCTCTGATTTTCTGGTGGATTTGGAAAAAAAAGCAAATGGGTGGCCCCCCCTTCCCTGGGGGTTTCCTGGTGGGATTAACATCCCCCCCCAAGGCTCCTGGGGGGCTGGAAATGGGATGGGGCCAAGTTGGACCCGTCACCCCAAAAAATCCCCCTTTCCCTGGAGCCCCCCCCAGCTCCGGCCCCTCTCTCCGTCACGTCCTGTTTTCCTTAGAAAAGGGTAATTTTCCCCCTCTCTGCACCCCCAAAACCTCAGATTCTTCTGCAGTGGGGCACAAACATCAAGCATAAATGCCAACCAGCACCCCCCAAAAAAACCACCCCAAAACCCCAAATCCTTATGCTGTGGGGGACAAACACCAGCCAGCACCCCCAAAAACTCCTAAAATACCCTGGATCCTTCTGCACTGGGGCACAAATGTCCACCAGCACCCCCAAAACCCCCCAAAAATCCTAGATCCTTCTCCAGTGGGGCACAAATGCCAACCAGCACCCCCAAATCCCCCCCAAAAACCCCTAGATCCTTATGTAGTGGGGCATAAATTCCAACCAGCACCCCCAAAAATCCGAGATCCTTCTGCAGTGGGGCACAAACACCAACCAGCACCCCCAAAACCCCCTAAAAATCCCTGGATCCTTATGCAGTGGGGCATAAATGCCAGCCAGCACCCCAAAACCCCTCCCAAAACCCCCAGATCCTTATGTAGTGGGGCACAAATGCCAACCAGGACCCCCAAACTCCCCCAAAAAACCCTGGATCCTTCTGCAGTGGGGCACAAATGGCAGCCAGCACCCCCAAACCCCCCAAAAAAACCCTAGATCCTTATGTAGTGGGGCATAAATGCCAACCAGCACCCCCAAAAATCCCAGATCCTTCTGCAGTGGGGCACAAATGCCAACCAGCACCCCCAAATCCCCCCCAAAAACCCCTGGATCCTTATGTAGTGGGGCATAAATTCCAACCAGCACCCCCAAATCCCCCCAAAAATCCTAGATCCTTATACACTGGGTCTACAAAACCAACCAGCACCCCCAAACTCCCCCCAAAAACCTGGATCCTTCCTCAGTGGGGCACAATCGCAGCAACTGGGGAGGGAAGATCCCCATCCCCACCCCCGGGGGGCTCCTGGCGTGGAGGAATTGCCCAAAAAGTGGGGATTTTGGGGGGAAACAGACCTTTTTGTCCTTCTCGGAGCCGTCGGTGAGCAGCACCCCCTTGGCCTGCATGTGCCGGTAGAGGACCCTCTGCAGCGCAGACATGTCACACTTGATGACATACTCCACCTGTGGGGACCAGGAGAGATCAGATCCTGGGGTGACACCAACCAGCACCCCCAAATCCCACTCCCCAAACCCATGGATTCTTCTGCATTGGGGCAAAAACGCCAACCAGCGCCCACAAAACCTCCCCAAACCCATGGATCCTTCTGCAGTGGGGCATAAATACCAACCAGGACCCCCAAAAATCCACCTGAGACCCTGGATCCTTTTGCCATGGGGCACAAATGCCAACCAGCACCCCCAAAACCTCCCCAAATCCATGGATCCTTCTGCAGTGGGGCATAAATACCAACCAGGACCCCCAAAAATCCACCTGAGACCCTGGATCCTTTTGCCATGGGGCACAAATGCCAACCAGCACCCCCAAAAAAATCCCCCAAAACCCCAAATCCTTCTGCTGTGGGGCACAAACGCCAACCAGCACCCCCAAAAAAACCCCAAAACCCCAAATTCTTCTGCAGCAGGGCATAAATACCATCCAGCACCCCCAAAAATCCACCTGAGACCCCGGATCCTTCTTCAGTGGGGCACAAATGCCAACCAGGACCCCCAAAACCTCCCCAAAAACTTGGGTCCTTCTGTAGTGGGGCACAAATGTCAACCAGCACCCCCAAAAAATAACCCAAACCCCCAAATTCTTCTGCAGCAGGGCATAAATACCAAGCAGCACCCCCAAAAATCCACCTGAGACCCCGGATCCTTCTGCAGTGGGGCACAAATACCAACCAGCACCCCCAAAAATCCACCTGAGACCCCGGATCCTTCTGCTATGGGGCACAAATGCCACCCAGCACCCCCCAAAAAAAACCCAAAACCCCAAATTCTTCTACAGCGGGGCATAAATGCCAATCAGCACCCCCGAAACCTCCCCAAATCCATGGATTCTTCTGCTGTGGGGCACAAACGCCAACCAGCACCCCCAAAAATAACCCCAACCCCCAAATTCTTCTGCAGCAGGGCATAAATACCATCCAGCACCCCCAAAAATCCACCTGAGACCCCGGATCCTTCTTCAGTGGGGCACAAATGCCAACCAGGACCCCCAAAACCTCCCCAAAAACTTGGGTCCTTCTGTAGTGGGGCACAAATGTCAACCAGCACCCCCAAAAAATAACCCAAACCCCCAAATTCTTCTGCAGCAGGGCATAAATACCAAGCAGCACCCCCAAAAATCCACCTGAGACCCCGGATCCTTCTGCAGTGGGGCACAAATACCAACCAGCACCCCCAAAAATCCACCTGAGACCCCGGATCCTTCTGCTATGGGGCACAAATGCCACCCAGCACCCCCCAAAAAAAACCCAAAACCCCAAATTCTTCTACAGCGGGGCATAAATGCCAATCAGCACCCCCGAAACCTCCCCAAATCCATGGATTCTTCTGCTGTGGGGCACAAACGCCAACCAGCACCCCCAAAAATAACCCCAACCCCCAAATTCTTCTGCAGCAGGGCATAAATACCAAGCAGCACCCCCAAAAATCCACCTGAGACCCCGGATCCTTTTGCCATGGGGCACAAATGCCAACCAGGACCCCCAAAACCTCCCCAAAAACTTGGGTCCTTCTGTAGTGGGGCACAAATGTCAACCAGCACCCCCAAAAATCCACCCGAGACCCCGGATCCTTCTGCTGTAGGACACAAATGCCAACCAGCACCCCCAAAAATCCACCCAGGACCCCGGATCCTTCTGCAGTGGGGCATAAATACCAACCAGCACCCCCAAATCCCACTCCCAAGACCCCAGATCCTTCTGCTGTGGGGCACAAACACCAACCAGCACCCCCAAAACCTCCCCAAACCCATGGATCCTTATGCAGTGGGGCACAAATGCCAACCAATACCCCCCAAAAAAAACCCCAAAACCCCAAATCCTGATGCTGTGGGGGACAAATGCCAACCAGCACCCCCAAAAATCCACCTGAGACCCCGGATCCTTCTGCTGTAGGGCAGAAACGCCAACCAGCACCCCCAAAAAAACCCCAAAACCCCAAATTCTTCTGCAGTGGGCCATAAATACCAAGCAGCACCCCCAAAACTTCCCCAAACCCATGGATCCTTCTGCAGTGGGGCACAAGTGCCAACCAGGACCCCCAAAAATCCACCCGAGACCCCAGATCCTTCTGCTGTGGGGCACAAATGCCAACCAGCACCCCCAAAAAAACCCCAAAACCCCAAATTCTTCTGCAGCAGGGCATAAATACCATCCAGCACCCCCAAAAATCCACCTGAGACCCCGGATCCTTCTTCAGTGGGGCACAAATGCCAACCAGGACCCCCAAAACCTCCCCAAAAACTTGGGTCCTTCTGTAGTGGGGCACAAATGTCAACCAGCACCCCCAAAAAATAACCCAAACCCCCAAATTCTTCTGCTGTGGGGCACAAATGCCAACCAGCACCCCCAAAAATAACCCCAAAACCCCAAATTCACCTGAGACCCCGGATCCTTCTGCAGTGGGGCACAAATACCAACCAGCACCCCCAAAAACCCCAGATCCTTCCACAGTGGGGCACAAACACCAACCAGCACCCCCAAAAACCCCGGATCCTCCCACAGTGGGGCACAAACCCCCGAGTTTCTCGGAGAAATCGATCCAACCACCTCCCCACAGAGCTGAAAAAAGCCCCGGGGACACCTCAAAATGGGGGAAAAGAGGGTTGATTTCCCCCCAGCTGGGCTGTACCTTTTCGGGGAGCTGGGCCTCCACCTCCTTCTTCAGGCGGCGCAGCAGGAAGGGACGCAGCACCTTGTGCAGGCGCCGGATGATGAGGATGGTTTCTTCCTCGTTGAGGTCCACCTGCAGCAGCAGGAGAGGGACCCGTTAGACCCTGAGGGAAGGTCCCTCCCTCAGGACCCCTCCACGGTGGCCAAATTCCCCACGTTGGGGTTAAAGCATCGTTCAGATGGGTGATTACCCCAATCACACAAGGGTTTGGGTTGGAAAGGACCTTAAAAACCATCTTGTTCCACCCCTGGACACCTCCCACCAGAGCAGGTCGCTCCAAACCCCCTCCAGCCTTGGCCTTGAACCTCTTCAAGGTTCTCTGGGCAACCTCACAGCTCCTCTGGGCAACCTGGGCCAGGCTCTCCCCACCCTCAGAGGGAAGAATTCCTTCCTGAATCTCACCTCAATCTCCCCTCTTTGATGCCCCGTCCCTGGGAACCTTCAAGGTCGGGTTGGACGGGGGGACCCAAAAAGACATCCAAAGGCACCCAAGAAGGGACCAAGAAGGGGACCCAAAAAAAGACCCAGAAGGCACCTAAAAGGGGACCTGGGAACCTTCAAGGTCGGGTTGGACGGGGCCCAAAAAGGGACCCAGAAGGCACCCAAAAAGGGGACCCAAAAAAAGGGAACCCCAAAAAAGGGGACCCAAAAAAAAGGGGACCCAAGGCACCCAAGAAAGGACCAAGAACAGACCCAAAAAGGGACCCAAAGGCACCCGAGAAGGGACCAAAGGGGACCCAAAAAGGGACCAAAAAGGGG